TATACAAACCATACACTCATTAAGAAGCAAACTAACACTAGCAACTATTACAAAAGATGATGAATACAACAATATACCGGTCTGCTAGGGGTCTAAGGGGGGGCTGCCCTCTGGCAGGATTTCAGGTGGCAGCGCCCCCGTAACAAAATTTTATTGTAAGAGAGAAAGTGCAGCAAAAACGCAACAAAAGCGCAATAAAGCACAGTAAAAACGCAGCAAAAATGCAGTGACAATGGCAGACAGATCGATTGTGGAATCTTACTTAGTAGAATATGGAGGTCCTTATTGCAGAACTGATCGATCTTGTATTTCCACGAAGAATAAGAGCTTTCAGCGGTTGGTCGAAGGAGACTCCAGCCCAACTCGCGTTAGAAGATAACTCCAAGCAATAAGAGAAGAGCAACTCAAGGTGAAATGAAGCCAAAGCTGAACGAAGAGGGAAAAAGGTCGCTCGAAGAAGATGAGGGAAAACCTGTTTTTGGGAAATGACAGAAGACCGTGCGAGGGTTAGGGGGTCCGAACCGAACAAATATATATTAGGTTAGTTTTTTTTAGAGGCGGACGCCTCTAAACTTTGAGGCGAGGCGCGCCTCAGTAAACTTGAAGCGTACGCCTCAAATCCTGAACTCATTGCGTGGGCTTTGAGGCTTAAAGGAGCGAAATTACGCTGAGGCATGCCTCTTATTGCGCAATTTTAAACCATGGTTGGAACATCCCTCGATACTATTGTAGGGGTGGTAGAATCATGTCAGTGATAGGAAACACTTGAGTTCGCAAGTATTCCTAACCCAAACCAGTAAAATTACAGCAGCCAACTGCTGTCCACAGCAGCAAAACAGCAGAAAAACAGGGAAAACGCAGCAAGAAATTGGGAAATGAGGAGAAAAACACAAGATTTCGCTTGTATTTCACTAGAAATCAAAGAAAATAGAAAAGATACAATTGATCCTCAATTCGAGAGGAGGATCGATCTCTCCCAAATCTCTGGCAACGCCAAGAGCCCAAAGAAAACCTAAATCTACGAGATCTCAAATTTCAGCCAAATTCAAGATACTCAAACCCTAGAAAAAACAACTATTTAATGCATACAAATCAAAAGGAATTCCCTAAACAGTCCATACATTCAAATTTCCCTCTTAACTCCCCAAAATTTCTTTCCTATTTGGCTCTCGCACGCCGTGCGGCTCGCTCGGCATCCCAGCGGGCGGAAGATTCTTCCGCCCTGTTCGTGCCTGAGCCGGTCCCCGCCTGGACCGGCTGGACCCGTCCAGTGGACCGGTCTAACAGTCTGGTGCTTCTATCTTCTCCCAATATTTTTCTTCTTCCAAATTCTGCAGCTCCACTAAAAGTCCAACTCCTTCACCTTTTCCTCTCCTTGGTAGTGGCTCCAAAGATGGCATCTCCTCTTCTTCCCCCAACTTTTTCACCTCCAGATCTTTCCCTTTCCTTATTGGATTAGAATTTCCTCCACTCCTTTCGCCATTAGTCACTCCGCTGCCTCCGACGATGTCGTTTTTGTTTGGAACTCTAGCATCGTTTTCATCATCTCCTCCATGATGGCAAACTTTGCATTGATCTTCTCATGGATGACTGAAAATATCTTTTTGAAATATGAAATCTTTTTTACACAATCTAATTTCAATTGTCCGATCTCCCATTCCATTACTTCTACTTGTTCGAGCCATGAGTGCCCGAATCGAATAGCTCTGATACCAGTTTGATAGGAAGTAGATGCAAAACTTGTGAAATTCCTTTGTTGAATTTACAATTTCAGCAAAACAGAAATCAATAACAAGTAAACGAAGAAGAATAACACTCAAGAACACTTTTTATTAGATTATATAAGAAAGAAAAGATAAGATACAGTTGGATCTTCAATTGGAGAGGAAGATCCTGCTCTCCCAAATCTCTAGACGCCGCTAGAGCCTAAAGCACCCTAAAATCACTACAATTTCAGCAAACAAGACCTACCCGTAATCCTAGAAAAATCTCTTACTTAAAGCAAACAATAAAAAACAAATACCCAAATATCCCTCCCTCAATTCCTTCCCAAATATGCCCTATTCCCATAATTATTTCCCCCCCAAATAAGCCCCCAAATCTGCCTTCTTCAATTAGGCAAAATCTCCTAATCAATCCTCTACAAATCAACACTCAAATCTGTCCTCTTCAATTAGAAAATAATTCCTAATTAATCCCTCTAAATCAGCCCCCAAATCATCTATCTTCAATTAAGAAAAATCTACTAATTAATTTCCTTTGATTAAAAACCTTTCTAAACTCCCTCTTGATTAGAAAACTTCTTAATTCCATCCCAATCAAATCTACTGGTCCATCAAATTCTTGCTAGCAAATTTTTACAATTTCAATGAAAAATGAGTCAAGACATAATTTCCAATGTTAATTGTTAAAATGTGATTGTGATTAAATACATTTTGACTCAAATCATGGCACATTGCTCATACTTGAGCACACTAAAGATTATTCTAGTAATAGAAAGAAAATTTTTAGGTTTGCAAGCCACAACATCCAAAAAGAAGGGGCCTATTATTAGCTTTGTAAAAATTCCTATACAATTAAGCACGAATTTCAATGAAATATGCACAACTTGAGTAAATTTAGAAGAATTGAACTGGTATATAAATTTGCTCAAATTAGTTAAATTGCAGATTAGATAAGCTCATAATTAATCGGAAGATCCTATACAAGATTGGATGCAACAACTAGATCCATGGACACCAAAATCACCCAAATTGACAATTATAAGAACTTGCAATTATTATGAATCAACTTGGCCTTGCTAAGCTACATTATGCATGGGCTTGCGGCCACATAGGAGGAAATGATGTAGGTAGAAGGGGCAGCCAAAACTTGGATCCATCATTTACCAATATGCTCGTGAGATCATTGTTTACTATGAGAAATCTCTAAATCATCAATCAAAAGCATAGCCAACAAGGCATTGCTAGAACACCATATTTGGGCCATCATCACCGCCTAAAGAAGCCAACATCTATGCGAGCTAGTTGGGTTAACCTAGGAATGCATTATCAGATAATAATTTAATCACAGGAGTGCAATATCGATCATGTATTGTTGATAACTATATAGAATATTTTTAATGATGATTGGGAAATATATATATATATATATATATACCCATTATAATTTCTGTGTATATTCAAAATAGCTCCGAAGAAATTCCTCATCTCTGATGACTCATTAATGATAGTAGGGGTTGGGTATGCCACATAACTACAAAAATCATGTTGATTGCCATCTCCTGAAGAAAAGATAATGCTCTTCTCTCTTCTATGTTTGTCATGCCATCACAATAGCAGGGTTTAATGAATAATAGACTACTATAATGATTTTATCTCTTGCTCTCTTTGAAGATCAAATGCTAGTCATCTCCCATTCATGGCCTTTCACTATAATAGTGCCACACGTGACAACAACAATTCCATCAATTGCCACGACCTGAAGACCTTTTGATGGTCATACCCCATCCATAGCCGTATTATCTTCGCAATAGCCATTTCAAACATGTCTCATATAATGGGCTTGGATAGTTTTGCGTATCATCTATGCTCAAGACCATAGAAAACAACACAAGCAATCTAAGTTGATGCTACCTAAATATGTTCCTATTTATGCTATTCAGGGATGTTTTCAAAAAACTTGTTGTATGTTCTAGTACATTTATAAATGAAACACAGAATGACCAAAATTGATATCCTCAATGTGAAATTTTCTAATTGCTCAAGGAATGTCATGTACAAAAACCCTTCCAACTTCTCAAAAATGATCCTCCCATATACTAGTTTTTAATAAAATAGTGAATCTTTTTAATTAAGATATATCCCATGATTTTCCCCATGGGTGTTTGCTTCTCTAACTATATGTTGTGTGTGAAGTTGAAAAAAAGTTAAAGATAGTAGAGATCAATCCTCACTCTTTTAGCTCCATGTCCAACATACTACACAAGATTTGCCATGCTAGAAGATAAGAGTGTTTGGAAAAATATGTATATATATTATGCAATCATTATTATGCTGCATCTCTCGCGAATGAAATATTCACAACACTCATTAACTTTTTTAATTACAACATGATATTCTTATTGAATTTTATAAATCAAATTCAGGCCATTTCATGATTAGATCAAAGCTCAAATTAGTCTTTTCTAAATATCTGAGCCAAATTTCCGAATTCGCTTTTTTTCATTAAATCTTGTTGAGTGTTGAATAAGGTATTGACTCAAATTTATGGAAGTCTTTCATAACTCATAGCTATGATACTTTTGATCTAATTTTTTCCAATTATTGTCATTTTGATTCTACCTATTTCTCTTATTGGTGCATCTTCAAGCCTCCAACTATATGCATAGACTATAAATCTACTTTTCACCAATATATTTCTAAATGAATTACTTCCACCATCTCTATACTGTAATCATTTTTCTCTTTCTTAATATCATCAAACATTCATCTTGACAATTCTCTTCCAACTTAACAGCTAGTGATCCTTTTATTACCCAAATCTCAAATCAATTTTATTTGTGTGGTCTAATTGTAATTTTATAAATTTTCCATTATGTATCGATGATATTACCTTAGTAGAAAGTTTTCTCAAAAAACTTTTTTTATTTTTTTCATTTTAACAACTTATGAAATACAGAAGTTGTCCCCATTCTTTGGATAATGATCCAAGGTACTCAAAACTAGCGCAATTAAATATTTCAACTTCTAAAGTTTTTATCCAGTACTATAAATGTTCACTTACTCCAACAAAAGGTTGCATGTATTCAAATGTCATTGTCAAAGAATAATTAACACTAAAAACTACAGCAATTTCTATCTAATGCTATCTTTTGGATTTAAAATAGACAGAACTTTCAAAGTATGCAAGCAAACTAGGGAAAATGAACAATACAAAATATTATGGTGATGTTGGAACTTTCATTAATCGCTAATCAATTACACGTACGGTAAAAATACCTGTCTAAGTTCCGATAGTAGTTAAATCCACCAGTAAAGCCCGACTTGCTAAATTTACTTGCGTAGTAGTTGATATCATCTTCTGACAGCCAAGAGGGAAATGTAATTTCTTTATCTAGGGATCCTACAAATCCCTTGCCTTTGGACAGAAAAAAAGGCGCAGGTTTATGGTGTAGGTTAATAACCATTTGAAAAGTAATATTGTATTAGTTCGAGCAAATTCAGCTTCCGCTACCCCAGATTCCTGCAAATACAATCATACAACATTTGAATCAGACAATCTTAAGAAGTTAATGCATAACAAACCACTAAAAAAAAGCTTCTATTAAAACATAAAGCAAAAAAAAATTGCAGAGGTTTGTTTAATATTTTAGGGAAAGAAGGATGCAAGTTCATTTTAAACTTTTAAGTGACCCAAAATAAATAGAGTATGAAGCAATCTTGTAGGTTGCAACTTCTTATATGAATATGAAAGTTCACACAAAAGCTTTTAAAATTTTGTACCAAGGCCCAAAAACTTTTGAGTCATAAACTACGGTAGGTTTTCGTATGCAATGCCAAATTCACTAATATTACAATTTTGTTTATTAACATCACCTCGTCCACAACCTCTCTTCCTCCTCTCAAGCTGATGAGCTCCTATTATCTTTTTTGGCTAGGCTGGAGAATAGCCGAGTCATGGATACTTCTGAACCCCTCCCCCCACCTTTTGTTCGACCTCCCCCTCGATACTTGGCTCTAAACCCCTAAATCCCTTCAACCCTTCTTCTTTGTCTTCAAACTGAAAAGGCCTTCTAACCACACGTATTCTTGTGGGCTCCGAAATGAATCAGC